TTTAAAAATGGTAAATATCTTAAAGCCCAAGGGAGAGATGTGAGGGTTTTAATGGTAGCATGCTAGGTCGGTATTCTTCTGTAGGTCCAAACTTCACTTTATCCAGATACTACTCTTGCTGGATCTTCTTCCGAGACAGGGTTTTTCTGTAGCTTTGGAGCCTGTTCTGGAATTAGCTCTTGTAGACCAGGCTGACCTCGAATTCACAGAGATCCACCAGCCTCTGTTTCCCGAGTGCTGGGATTAAAGGCGTATGCCACCACAACCTGACTTTCCTGCTGGACCCTGATGACCAGTCACGTCTCTCTTAGACACACCAGGCTTCCCTCCATCCCGTGACTGCTCTTCTAATAACTGAAACTGACTAACTCTTAGAATACATCCCAAGATCTCCAACCAAAACCACCGCCCATGGCACTACATTTTCATAAAGCCTTCATACTGGTGTTTAAACAGTCCACCCCTAGGCTATTGATTTGCTTGTTAGGCCTGCTCAGCTCCAGTGGTGGCAGCTAGTCCTATGGAAAATGAGATGACCTTTGAGTCAAGGAAACATGTTATTCCTATTCCCAGGACTTTGGAATATGACTCCCAAGGCTTAGGGAAGGTGTTGGAATGACAACTCTTGTTCTTGTTTTGTAATTCACCTCCAAGAGATTTGAGAGTTTTTTTGTTTTCTGAAAGATTTTTAAGATTGTATTTTATGTGTGTATGTGTGAGTGTCTGCACCTAAGCCTGTATACCCCATGAGTGATGATGTCCATGGAGGCCAGAAACGGGTGGCAGAGCTCCTGGATCTGCAGTTACAAGAGGTAGTACTGAGTCTTTTACTTTTGGTGCAGGTAACTGACCCTGGGTTCTCTGCAAGAGCAGCCATTTCTCTTACCCCCCCAGCCTCTCCAGCCCCTGGGATTGGAATTTTAAAGGACGGAGTCCAGCCTTTACCCTGTCTTTGGAGAGTCATGCTTTGAAAGGGACAAATGTGGTTTGTCTCTAAAAGTTCTTGACCAACATACAAGAAATCTTTAGAGACCCTGCACACCTTGTTCCAATTCACTTGAGTGATATGAGGGAGGTAGTATGTTTCACCGTGGAATCTCTTAGTTAGAATGCAAGGGATATAGCAATGTTCTTCCACAGTCCAGGTTCATACAGAACACATGCTTCCCCTTTCTCCAATACTTTTAGGTAACTGCCTTGACTTAGAGTGCTGAAATAGTTTTAACCATTGACATCTATTTGTCTGTCTGTCTATCATCCATCCATCCATCCATCCTTCCTTCTAGTGTGCACATACCATGGTACACACGAGAGAGCAAAGGACAACTTTCAAGAGTCAGTATTCTTATATTTTACCATGTGGATCCACATGGTCTTGGCAGCGAGAACTTGTACCTCCTGAGCTACCTTGTCAGCCCAAGAAAAAAATCTCTTTTAAGAAACTCAACTATTAGACTGAAGTCCCATTGTCCTTTATCTCATCTCTGACCTTCCCCTAGAAGAAAATACTACTGAAGGCTATGAGGTAACCTTATGGAAACCCCTGTTTTTCCACACATATGTAAACAGCTTTGGAATTGTGTTGCATTTCATCGTCATGCTGTGGGCCACTTTTGTGTCGTGCTTTTCCCACGACCCATCTTGTATTTCTATGCTAGGCATAAATAAGAGCCTCGAGTTTTAAGGCAAGTAAGTGGTCCAAATTATGGACAAGCCATCTTTTGTTTAAGTATTCCCTTAGAGACATTTTCCAACTGTGAGCACAGTGCACAAAACAATACAAAAACTACATTTTATAGTAGAGCTGTCCCTGAATTAATCCCAAACAACAGAAAGCATAGTAATTTGCTACATAGTAACTTGAGCATATGATTTACCTGCTCCATAGCTCTTTATCTGTAAAATGGGAACAGAAGTAACACTCTTTACGAGGTGATGGGAAGAAGCAGAAGAAGGGCTGTATGTAAAGGGCTCTGTGCAGCTCCTGGCTTCTGTTGAATGCTGTGTGCTGAGAGTGCTGTGCTCGGACAAGGCTGTGCTGCTCTCACAGAAGTGCCGTGACCTTTGCTGTGTGTGTTATCCTTCCAACTATTTTGTAAGCATCCCAGGAAAGCAATGAGTTTTACTGAACTCTGTTTACGGTGTCATCATAGATGCGGTTTATCCCAGTATACAAAGTCTCTCTGTGAATAAGTAGACCTCTCCTAGGTAGTCAGTTTGATTTTCTAAACAGACTTATCTGCCAGGATCTCACTACACAGCCCAGGCTGGCCTCATATGATCCTCCTTCCTTCGCATGCTAGCCTTCTGTGTGTTCATCTTTGACACATTGTGATTCTTCCACTTGCTGCTAGAATGGAGCCTGCACCATCAGCCTTTCCTACTGTGTCCTGTGAGCTCTGTGTCAGGCACTTTCTGTTTGAACTTAGGACTCTAAGTTATTTTCTTACCGTGGCTTTTGGGTCAGTAATACAAATGGCTGCTACAGTGAGTGACTGTGGGACTGGTTTGAATGAGTTTTGTTACCAGCTCAGGTGGCAGGTACTGTGCCTAGAAACCACCAGAGGCCCAGCTGGAAGGGTAACTGTGGAAGAACCACCTGTATGAGAACGGCCTGCATGGGTGTCCTAGGTCTCCCAACTGTCAGGGGTCAGAGTTCAGGCATGGCACCAGTGGTGCAAACACAGTGTGAGAGAGTAGGAGCTTCTACTACTTATGGTCAGGCGGAGAGAATGAGGCAGGACCTGGGCTCCATGCAATTAATTGGTTTCCCATAAGAAGTCTTAATTGGCGGATTTAAAGAGAGTAGATGTTAGATCCCCCCCTCCCAAAGAGATAGCAACCACCTTAAGGTTTGTTTGTCAGGTGTCTGCAGGAAGTGGTGGGAAAGGAGAGAGGCTTATGAGTTATCACTGCTCTCCCAGTAGGAGCCGTTCTGGTTTGGTAGAGCTCTGCCAACTCTCAGTGGTGATTGAACCTTTGACTGTACCTTGCTATGGGAAAGTAAGACTTGCATTCAGAAACAAGAGTTACGGCAGGGCCTGGTGAGACAGGCCTGTGGTCCCAGTACTGGGAGGCTCAGGAAGGACTGCTGTGAGTTCAAGGCCAGCTTGGGCTACACGGTGAGATACATGGCGAAACCCTATCTCACATAAGACAAAAATTCTGTTGCAAAGGGAAAATAAAATTGTAGCAGTCACTGTAAGGACGGGCTACACATAACTAAATACAGCACAGTGGCTATGGGGACTTGCCAGAGTCTTGTGACCAGATCCACCCTTTAGTCCTTGGCCTTCTCCACCTTCCTGTAGAACAAGTTGTGACTCTATGGCTGGACAGTGTCATTTATAAATAATGGTGATTTTGACTTTGGAATCAGACATCACTGACATTTGGGAGACCGGCTGCTTTCCTCTCTGTCTTCTGAAAATGGCCACCCACTGTGAGTCCTTCAGCAGGAGAATGTGCCCTGCTCCTAAGAGCTGTCTTCTCACCGGTTCAGGAAAACAAATGTTCGCTGTGACCCACCTCTGGATGCTAGGGGCAAGTCTGCCCCGTGGGAGAGCCTGGGTATTAACCACTCTCCCAGCAGTAAACTGCCATCCACAAAGGAGCCATTGGTGATTGTGAAGGCTCTTTGTCTGTGGCATGAAAGGGATTCCGTCAGTGTTTAGGTGGTGCAGGCTTGAGCTGAACTGGAAGGAAAGGCAGTGGTGTCACCAGGTGCCAAGAGCCATCTCAACTGTGCCTGGTACAGCTGTGTGGGAAATGCCCTAGGCTCAGCCCACTTACTGTCCCTTCAGCCGAAACCCAGTGCTCTCTCTAGTCAGGCTCCATTTTATAGGACGCTTAGCTGTTGTAGATGGGAGTGACTCTGTCGCTTGTCCATCACCTGGGATGAAGGGCAGAGGAGGTGCTTTTCCCCACAGACAGGTCTGAGAGCGCGTTCTGGTAGTTGCAACGTGGGGAGATAAGCTTCATGATAAGATGGGACAACCCTGGACTTTTCTGAATTGCCCGTTTGCACAACTGTTCTTTTCTCTGGATAAACACCTCCCTCAGGAATTGATCATTGACACTGGTCAAGTCCAGATTATCAGGATAACAGCTTTCCTACTGAGCAATGAGATCTTCTCTTTGACGCAGGCAACCCTCTGCGTGGCTGCTGTGGATCCCTGGTTTCAGCCTTTTCTTTGGGATGGAGGAAGGGAGCACCGATGGGTTGGGAGCCAGCTTTGTGCCATTAGGAGCTCTTACCCCACTCCCTGCCAAATCAGGTTAGGGAAGGGCAGTTTGTAGGTCTGTCCTCCTCTGCCACTTCGCACCTCCTCTCTTTTCTTTCTAGTTTCTAGTTCTTCCCATTTATCCTTTCCCGTTTCACTCATTGAGATCCCCTCGGTATTATTTGCTTAGATTCCGCTCACAGTTGTGTCACTGAAGCTTACCGCTCTCAGCATAAGCACTGCAGAAACATGCTCTTGTCATGGCTGGGTTTGGAGTGGACCTTCCGACTGGTTTTCTCAGGTCTCTCTTTGACTGTTTAGGATGTAAACCTGCAGAACTCTAGCAGGAAAGTGTGAGGATTCCAAGGTTTTCATCCCACTTTTCCACACATGCATGCTTGACAAGTGGTGCTCACTGCAGTCTCCTTCCAGAGCAGACACTTCATAGGCTAGGCCTCCAGCTGAACCAGACCCAGCATGCCTGGCTCATCAGGTCAAGCCCTGCTGCTTGGTTGGAAGCTCTTTTGAGGCCCTTCCAGCCAAGGGTGAGGTCATCGGGGGTGGTTTCACCATCTTGTAGGACACACCTTGTTGTGGCATGTGGTCTGGGCCTCTTCTGGGCTGTCTCGAAATCAGGTTTCCTGTTTTTGGGGTTGGTTTTGCACATAGCATTGCCGAAACTGTCCTTATAAGTGGCACACATTGTTGCATTGATTGGGAAGTGGTCAGTGCTTTTCTAGCCCCTTAAGTGTGTTCTTTTCCCCTCTTCAATCCCAGGTCAATCACCACAGTGCTGCTAGTAATGAAACCTACCAGGAACGCCTGGCACGGCTAGAAGGAGATAAAGAGTCCCTCATATTACAGGTGAGTCCTCTTGCTCCCTAGCTTCCCCAGGAAAGAGAGGACTCCCCAGGAGGAATCCTCTGTTGGAAAGTGTTGTTAGTCTGTGAATCCTTCATTTATCTTGCGCTGCTAAGCATCTCGCTTTGCAGCCTATAAGCCCTGTGGACAGGTTGAGACTGGGTGCTAGCAATGAACAAACTGGGCCCAGTTATCTGGGAGCCTGTAAGTCTGCTAGAGGAGATGAGTGTATCCTTTGTCACTAATAAAATTGAGCCCTGAGTGACACAGCTTCAGGGAGCATGCTAATGGAATCTGGTCCATGACTCTGAACCTGGATCCAGACAGATCACTTGAATGCCAGATCCCCTGCTCTGGTAGCATGGGCTAGGCCTTTGCTTGCTCTCTTGCTCTAGGAGAAGAGTGGAGCTTTGAAACTTTTCGTAGAGAAAGGACACCAAAGCAGCCTCTCACTTCAAAAGTCAGTGTTCCTTGGTAGGACATCACATTGCGCGTTCTTCTAGAGAGCCTGCATTGCAGCAGAAGGAGCTCTTTGCTGTGTTATCCCCCAAATGCACCAATACGTTTAGCAAGCAGGTATTCAGGGTCTCCTCTGCATTGCATACAAATCGACAGTTTGGAGAATGTAGAGATCAGTGTCCTAATTTCAGCTTCTTAAAAAGCTTGCAGTATTAAGAATAATCCTTAAGGAGATGAAGGCTGGAATGCAGGTTTTAGAGTGCTTGCCTATATGCATGAAGTCCTTGAATTCCATCCCCAGTGCACTGGGATGCTGCACACCTGTGATCTCTGTGTTTGGGAGGCGGAAAAAGGAGGTCCAGAAATTCAAAACCACATAGTTGGTTAGAGGATAGCCATATGAGACACACACGACACCCCCCCCCCCCCCACACACACACTACACATACACCAATTGTGCTGAAATGGAGGAAGTGTAGGAAGGGGACGTTGAGGTCTGATGTTGGCCCCAAGGTTTGGCGCACTAGGTAGGGATTGTGAATGAGATGGCAGGATGCGTATTTCTTTTTCTTTTTTTTTCTTTTGTAAACTTCAGATTAATCAGTTCTTTCAGAAGCTAGAAATCCTTAGAATTTCACTAAGCAGATTAGGTTAACATCTGTCCTTTGGTTGTGCCTCTCTTAACTCCATTAAATGATTGAGTTCATACCAAACATAATTTGTAGCCTACTTTTATTCTTTCATTTGCTTCATTGACTTTTTTCTTCTTTTCTTTTTTTAAATGGTGTTTGTCTGCATATATGACTGTGTGAGAGTGTTGGATCATCCAGAACTGGAGTTACAGACAGTTGTGAGCTGCTATGTAGGTGCTGGGAATTGAACCCAGGTGCTCTGGTAAAGCTCTTGCCACTGAACAATCTCTCTAGCCCCTTCAATGACTTTTTAAATAATTAAATCATTATAAAGTAACTGAATATTTGGTTTGTCGAATACTGGTTTTAGATCCTGTGGGTATGTCAGTAAATAAAATGGAGGAGGGGGGAGAAAATCCAAACCAATACTTAAAATATTTCTGGTAGTGATAAGTACCATGGAGAAAAATAAATTCAGATAAGCAGTGTACAGACAGGAGCTCGCTGGCAGAAGGGAGATAGGGTGTAAATCATGGATACCTGCAGGAGTACATTCCAGGCAAAGGAGGTGATCAGTCCAGCCCATCAACAGAGATGGAATGTCCTTGATGTGTGGGCAGAACAGCAAGGGGCTGTTGTGGCTGGAGTCCCTGGAAAGAAGGGGTGGAAGCCCCCTTGGAAGGCGTCGCTGGAGCCTGTTTTTATAACACAGGTCCTTGAACAGTGTAGAATTTGAGACTTCATCCCCAAGACATGATTCATGAAATGATAGTCCACTTTAGAACTGCACAGCAAACAGTATGAAACTGCAGACTTTGGAGGCAGGACCCTTCACGATTGGAACAACACATAGCTATTTAGATGGGATTACAGTTAATAAAGAAGTCCCATGTAAAGAAGCTTCCTTTCACAGCCATTTCTGTTCTTACCACGTTCTTGACTAACCCCTGTTGAAATAATCTGAACACAGTTGAGGAGCTGGTGACTAATAAAGGTGAAAGTTGACCCTCATGATGTCTGTTCTGCCAGGAGCAGTGTGCAAATCCTTTACAGCTTCTATCTCCTGCCCTGTTCAGCAGTGCCCTGTGGAGCTGGTTCTGCGATTCTCAGCAGGGCATGGCCACTTGCATAATCTGCACAGTAGTTGAGTCAGACTGAATGAGTTGAAGCCCTTAACCCAGAATACATTTTCCTGGGTCTCTTTGTAGAAGAACAAGATTAGTTTCTGTCCCCTCCCAGTTCCTAAAGTTATGTTTAATATAGGGCTCAAAGTATTTGTTCGTAAAGAATGAAGATAGAATTCTGAAATTTAGTGCCATCTCTATACCTCCTGAGTCACATGGCGTTGACCTCAGGCTCAGAAGACCCTGAAGCCCTTTGTCTTTGGCATTCTGTACACCTGACCTGTTGCCTGTACTACTCCACAGACTCCCAGCACATGATATCTAAGAATGGTACAGCTTTATAAGTTTTAATTCTTGTAGTGGCACCAACTATAAAACACCTTCCCATAACAGAAACCCTGAATCCCAGGAAACACAACCATTCCCCAGAACTCGACTCTCCTGAATGTGTAGTTCATTACCAGTTGAAAAGACATTTGCTATTGATAGTATTCAGGAACAAGGATCAAAACCAAATAAAGACATGTGACTAGAGAGATGCCTCAGCAGTGCATTGATTTTTCTTCCAGAGGACCTGGGTTCGATTCCCAGCACCCACATGGCCACTAACAGCTCAAGTTCCCAGGGTATCTGACACCCCCTGATGTCAGTGTGTCTTCTGTGGGCATTGAACACACACACATGCAGACAAAACAGCCATACATATAAGAATAAGCAATATTAACAGTAACACACACACACACGTGTTGTTTAAATGTGTAAATGGGCCTAGTTGGTGGGAGGAGCCCATCTTTGGATTATTGGAATGTCAGCACACAGCGCACCCCTGCATCAGCTTTAAGAGTGTTTCAATCATTCACTCCTTATTTGGGTCTAGAAGTACAATATGTAAAGTTGATAGGTTCATTTAAATGTGTGCCTTCATGAAAAGGAATTTTCTATCTCATAAATTCATTTAAACACTCAAATGAATGTATATTAACTTCTTCATGCTTTATTGATTATTACAGAATGAGACATTAATTAGAATAACCTATGTATAAATGACCACCGTATCTTCAACCAAGAAGATCATGATTTACTATTCATTAATTACTTGAGTTTTGGAAGGTCTCCTGTTCTCTTTTGTTTTCCTGTATGGAACTGTTTCATAATAAAACATAGAAAGGATCCTAGGGATCAGTTGGCTAATAGAGAAGGCTACTAAAATAGCCTTATAGCTATATAAAATATGTATATAGGGCACAAAGCAACTTTGTGTAAATATAGTTTTCTTAGTATTTCCACAGACAATCGCAGGGTTCTTCAGAAAAATGACTTCTTTCTTCCATGTGTGTGCAGTGTGGCTTTTGTGTTGTATGACTTAAGAGTCATGTTTTGGCCTGTAGAGCACAGAAACCTTTCTGGAGCCAAGTTTTGTCAGTGCTAATACATGCCCTTTGCGTCCCACATTCCTTAATTACTTCCAAACGCTCACTTGATAGGTGAGCAGTCCCCACACCCGTGTGAGAGAAGTAAGGTCATTGGTTGGTTTCCATAAAGGTTTGGATTGCTCTTCCCCATGAGGTGGCAGAGCCCTGGCAAGGGCTGAGATATGCCCCACTAGAGGAATAAGGAGCAGGAGTCCAGCACAGAGGCAGCTCTCATGACTCTTGGGTAGGTGCCTTCCTCTCAAGTCTGTTAAGAGCAGGAAATGTGACCAAGGCATTTAGGCAGTGCTAAGATTCCATGGTAAGGTGAGATTCTAACTGGAGTTGCCTTCCTCTGGGATACTGCTTCAACTCACTCACCTAAAGAGAGGCCTTCATCAGCAGGTTGCTTTCACAGCTTACCCACCCCACAGTGGGGACTTCTCGGCCTGACACACAGTCCAGATCCTCCACTATTGTCTATGTTCTACGACAGGTGAGCGTCCTCACAGGCCAAGTGGAAGCCCAAGGAGAGAAGATTCGGGACCTTGAAGTGTGTCTGGAAGGACACCAGGTGAAACTCAATGCTGCCGAAGAGATGCTTCAGCAGGTACGGGCAGGTGAAGTGGAGGGCTTTGGACCTGGAGCAGTTCAGGTGTTAAATGCCCCTTTATGGGCTCCTGCTTACTCTCCCATGATGCCTGGAGGTGGGGTTGGCTGTGCACTGTGCGATGTTTAGACAGCGGGTGAAGCCAACCTGAACGTTGAGGGTGCGGTAGGGCGGGGCTGGCCTGTGGGAAATAACTTGTTGGGCTGGTTAGACAGAGTCCCAGGAGTACTTTCTCTCTGCTCGCCACTTCACTTCATCTTATCATCGAAGCTGTCATCTGCCAAGGGGCGGCATCTGGGGTTGCAGAAAGTCAACCTGTCAGCTTGTTTTCTGCCTCTCCCCCACCCTCACTCTAGTCATTCCCTCTGTAGTTTCTTTTGATTAAAAATTATCACCCAAGTGCCATCTTACTGTAATTTAGTAGACATCCCAAAGGAAAGCAATAGTTAGCTGCTTCCTTATCCTTTTGATAGTTCCGGTGTGTGCACACATGATTTGCAAAGTTGTGGTCCCACAGAGGGACAGTCTATTCCTTAAAGTTTGTACACTTCAGTATGATGTGGTGGCTCTTTTCCATTTGAAAAATATAGCGGTGTACCCATCTCCACTATCACAATTTTTTTTTAAGTCAAAATATCAGAATTGACCTAACCATCCTTCATCCTCCCAAAGAATTGTATCATATTGTCAAAAGTAAGTTAGGGCTATTACAAAGGGGTACTAAACTGTCGTAAAAAGTCTTGAAGGTCTGCTGGGCAAACCATTAAACTTTTGGTTCAATCTAGTCCTAGATTTCCTCTGCTGAAATTGTCCTTGCCCTTTTAGCTATTTTGAAAATTAAAGCGTGGTGGAAACTTCTGTGTGTGTGCTTTGTAGCTGTTGATGTAATACCTGACATAGGGAAGTCTCACTCTCTATTCAAAGAACAAAAGCCTTTCTCTTAAAATGAATGGGTTTACTTAGATGACTGATTATAATCCTTTCCTCGGAGCTCCACTTCTTTTCTTTCTAACTGTAAGACCAGCCTGTGAACACGATGTTTGCATTCTACTGTTGGCCTTAGCATAAATGTCATAGTTTCAGGGTGTGTTAGTTTTGTTTGGGTACATTTGAAGGATTTAAGGGAAGAAAAGGTAAATCAGTATCTTGATGAATGTGTCTTTATAAAAACTAGTTGCCAGGTGGTGGTGGCACAAGGCTTTAACCCCAGCAGTCTGGAGGCAGAGGCAGGTGAATCTCTGAGTTCAAGGTCAGTCTGGCATGAGTTCCAGGACAGCCAGGGCTACACAGAGAAATCCTGTCTCGAAAAATAAAACAAAACCCTAGTTGCAGTGGCCTGGAAGTTGTAACTAATTTGCTATCTTCTCCTGATTAATAAATTACCATGTCCGTGTCTCAGTTTGATTTTGCTTGGATTATATACCATTTTTCTTACTTACAGTTTTTCCTGGGAAATTATGATTAGCAACACGTTCTTTTTAGAAGAAAAAATTAATCTATCTTTTGACTACCTAGAAAAGAAAATAGTCTGATGGGTGAAAGATATCTTTTATGAAACATACGGGGATGGCATTTTCAGGTCTGCCGGAGGTGTGGTTTGGTTGCGGGAGGGTAAGGAAGGACCATGACAAGTGCTGTAAACAGTTCAGAGAGACCCTGACGAGCTGAATGTGAATGTGAGTGAGTGCACTAGAATGTCTGACGGCTGACCTTTCAGGAAGGTGGCACCTGGCTAGAAGCCATGCTTAGAGCTTAGAGAATGGCTGCATTGTGGTGCTGGAGTTATCTGCTTGACTGCTTCCCGCTACAGCACTGTTCCTGTCTGTTGAGGAGTCTGGCGGGGGCCAGCAGTGCCTCGACAGAGCTTGGCTCACCCATCTGTCAGCATTGTCACTAAGAAAGCGTTTGGGACTTTGAAAAGTCTTAGGTTGATTGGCTTTTGTATCCTGTTTATTCTAATTCTGTGTCGTGTGCGGTGAGTGAGGTATCGGGTATTGATTTGCTTATGCAGTAGATGTGATGTCATCCTTCACCTGCTACAAATTGAAATAAGGGTGGCTCAGCATTTGTCGCTTCTAGAATTTGACTAAGTTCTGTGTCCATAAATTTCAGTATGACCTCTCAGTCTTTTAAAGGTAGCATTTCTTAAAAATTACATGTTCCTAATGTGAGACACATTTGAGCCTCAGCTCCCCCTAGGTGTTTATTGAACTTGGTGGTTTCAGCTCTAGATCTTATGTTCAGCACTATTGCTGTTATGGAATCTGCTTGGTGCTGTTTGTGAAGACCCTTGGTTCTTGCCTCACAGTGCTGATACAATGCTGTTTACAGCCGGGGATATGTATAGTTCGCAGGGATAGTCCTGTGAACTAGGGCAGGAAGAGGCTTGCCAATTTTGGCTAAGATATCCTTCGCTGCAGGGCTCTTGGCTTCTGGTGGTTGGAACAAGAATGACTCATGGCCTAGAGGCAGAGAATGGACACAATTGCTTCTTTCTGCCAGCCCAGGAGACCATTCCCATCCTTCCAGACCTGCCCCATCGCTCTGGATGAGGCCTTTCCCTCCAGTGGGGCCTTCCCGGAACCCATTACTTCCCCTGGATGCACTGTTCTAAATAACACTGCGCACTGTCTTTGTGGACCCAGTAATGCAAGATAGTCAGTTAGTTGCTGGGCTTTTTTTTCTTTTTCTTTTCTTTCTTTTTTTAACATAGAGGTAAAAATTAAAGATTTAAAAATGTTTTAAAAACTTGACACTTATTTCAATTTTGACTTGTCCTGCGTGAAATACAGAGTAAGTTACTATGGGTCGTGCCTAGCTTGGAGATCTCTAGCCTACATGTATGCTCTGGACTGTCCTCCATCCACAGGCTGGAATAACACTTGGAGACTGTCTTAGTTACTTAATTACTCAGTTAAGACACCGTGACAATGGCAATTTATAAAAGAAAGAGTTTATTAGGGGGTTCATATTTCCACAGGGTTAGAGTTTATGATCATCATGTCTGGGAACATGGCAGCAGGCAGGCAGGCAGGCAGGCAAAATGCTAGAGCAGTATCTTACATCCTCATCCACAGACTTGAGGCAAGTGAATGCTAACTGGGGAATGGTGTAGACTTTTGAACCTCAAAGCCACCATCAATGGCACAACGGCACACCTCCTCCACCAGGATCACATCTCTTAATTCTTCCCAAACAGTTCAAACAACTGGGGACCAAACATCTAAACATGTGTCTGTGGGGGCCATTCTCTTATCTCAGATGCAATGCACATTACCCAAAACCAGGGCTTTGTCTAAGTTCCAGCAATCCCTCTGAGCTGCCTTTCCCGCAGCTGCTGTACCAGCGTCAGGCTCCTTCCAGGAGCCCAGAGGGATGAGGCTCACCTCTCACCCAGCTCATGAGGCAGTTCTCCTCTGACTTCCGCAGACTGTCCCAGCCCAGCCACTGCTCACCACTGATCTGCCTGCTAGCTGGTGCAGCTGAACTGGAACTCATCCAGTCTCTAGGAGAAACCACCTCCCTTGGCAGTAGATAAACCAGAAGTATATAGAGCCAGCACAGGGACAGGTCCACCGAGACTGCAGTACGCCTGAAGATACCTTGGGAAGGAAGGAAGGAGGATGCAAGCTTTCCTGACTTTGTGAAGGCACCACCCTGCTCTGAGAACTAGGGAACAACATCAACACGTTTCAAGCTTCCAGCCTAAACTATAGAACCCCAGGGTTTAGGTGAAGCCTAATGAGGTGTATGACATGACTGGGAGTCAGTGAGCCTGGATGTTGATCTGGGAAGCTCAATAAATCTGTTCTTTTTTTTTCTTTTAATTTATCATCATCATCATCATCATTATTAGTGATGCTGGATCTCAAGCATGCTAGGCAAGCACTACTGCCAGTGAGCTCTGGCTTTCTGGTTTTCTTTCTTGTAGACAATGGGGATGGCAGTCTGGATTCTAAATCATGCATCTCTGCTCTTTCGTCATAGGAGACTAACATGATGAGGGAGGGTTATAGTAAATACTGTCCAGAATGCATGGTTGCCGATCCAACCCTCGTTGGACCCAGAGTTTGGTGGAGAGTTCTTCCAAGGCAGCATGGGAGGGAAGGAGTGGGCTGTGCCTGTGAAAGAAAGTGTGTCCTGTTGGGTAAGAAAGCTCCAGAGCAAAACAGGACCAAGACCTCATGACAAAGCCAAAGGCTACGCATGAAGGTGCTTTAATGGCCATGAAGGTGTGTCCTGCTAGTCCAGGACCGTTAGAAACAGACTGTCAAACCAATGGCCAGTGTGCCTGAAGACAACGTGCAAGAGTTAGGAGGCCTGGACACCGGCCCTGCAACTCGTGAAGAAATGGAGATTTTTTTTTTTTTAATCAGAGAGTATGAAACACAAATGATCTGGCAGGCACATAGATCTGTCTGAGGAGGCTTATAAGGCAGCAAATCATGAGTGAAGAAAATGGGCATTTAAGTATTCTCTAAAACCCCTCAGATTTTAAGGCACAAATACCTAGTTTCTTCAAATTTATCTTACTTGATGTTGTATGTCCAGACATACATAGTAGTGTATGTCAACCCACATTGCAGGTGAGGCTGAGAGTTCAAGGAGACTCAGTCAGGCTTGAATGTGGCCAGAGTCAGTTGGAAGACTCTTTTTGTGCAGTGTTCCTCGTGGTCCTAGCTTCGTGGCAAGGCTAGAGTTTTTGGCTGCAAAGGGCAAAGGTACAGGGTTTTACTTTCTTGTTTTTCCACAGCCCGTTCTTTCATTCTGGTTTCAAATTGCCAGGCTGGTTGCAGGCCCCTGATAGTAATTCTCTGGGTCATGTTCCACTCTTAAAGATGGAGGTAATTGCTTCAAGATGTGGCCCTTTAAGGAGAGAATGAGTCAAAAGGCAGATTTCTTTTTTATCAGCTCTAGTCAGGATCTGAGCCTTGGGAAAAAGGAAATGGTTGACTGCTTTGAGACGTTAACTTTCTTTCATCTCTGAGAAAGGAAGTGCT